CCTTTGGAAAGTACAGGTATTTGTGTTCAACATGTAAGAAGTAGAAAGTACAGGTATTTGTGTTCAACATGTAAGAAAAGTAAAAAGTCGTCTGTAAAATAAGTAGTGGAGTAAAGTACTGATACCAGAGAAATGTACAGTAACGAAGTATTTGTACTCAACTACTTCCCACCTCTGCAGGTAAGAGACTTTACAGTAAAGCCAGTAAACAGCCGTTTGTTAGCTTCAAAGCACTGGATGAATACCATCATAAACATTTTTGCATTATTTACAGGCTGTCATTGTAAATGTTGGTGAACGGATTGCCCGAGAGCCACACATATGCATAAAATATGAAACATAAAAGTAGACACAAATTACAGTTTACAAAATATACATCCAGTACCAGCAAGAGTATTTAAAGTGTAGCATGGATAAAGTAGTGTGATTTGGAGTCTCTGTTCCCATTCTCACAGCCATAAATACATGTTTCATATATAGATGCTTTTTAGTGCATTCATGTGGTGTTTCGTAGCAGCGAATGGTATTTTTCACGAAATTAAAATAGCTCATCCCCATTTAATTGAATGGTATTTGTAGAGGCTAACTAAAGAAATAAAATAGAAAAATGTAACTTAAAGGTCCCATGTCATGGCCATTTCTACTGATCATAATTCCATTGTTGAGGTCTACTCGAGTACATTTCCAAACTCACATTGGTTTCTCATACAGCATCTCTGTATAGTATGTGTATTCACTCTCTGTCCTAAACGGCTTGTTGGAGCTCCTGCCCCCCCCCCCCTCCCTGTGAGCCCCGTGGCCGTCTGCGAGACAGCAAGACACAGCGAAACCCAGCCCGAAACACACACACACACCCGCAGTCTGGCTGGGAGTTTGTGTGTGTGCTCAGGCTGAGTTCCGCGGTGTCTCGCTGTCTCGCCGACCCCACACCAGTGAGCCAGCTCACAGTGTCCCGCTCCTCAGCAGCGAGCCTCGCAACGTCCCGCCGAGTGTGTGTGTGTGTGTGTGTGAGGAAGTCCGCGGATTGGTCAATTTGGACCAATCTGCGGAGCCGTTACGTTACGCCACTATACCCGAAATACGTCACTATACCCAAGAAGTAAACAATGGAAAAAGAGAAATATCCAACGAGGCGTTCTGGGGCAGCATAGACAGGTCTTCTCTGTGTTAGAGTTTTACTCGCTACAGGGTGTACTTTGAGGGTTTGTGACTCTGCAGACCGTTTACATGCAGAGAAAGCTACATAACACACAAGGGGGCGGGTAATAACCAGAAAAGCATGACATGGGACCTTTAAAGTAAAAAGGGAATAATGTCCAATGTCCAGGCAGAATATCCTCTCATACATTTATTGTAGTATTTCTAATAATATTCGTAGAGCGATGATTTTTAACCTTTCTTCCTCTTTGTCTGTTTCTCCTGGTAAAACAAAAAGAATTACTAAACCAAGATATAACTCCAACAATATTTATAGTAGTGCATTTCTTTGCCTTTGTCAAGTGAAGTATGTATTTATTCATGAAATACTTTTACATTTGTTCAAATTGTGTATTTGTGAACCCTATAAATTACTCACAAATCATTTCGCACAATATAGCTTTTATATAGATCATAATAAGATAAAATTATATCTACTTTATTTCACAGCAGCATGTAAACAAGGCATTAGGTGAAAAACAAAAAAGGAGTAAACAGAAATGAACATAAAATTGAAACATCACAAAATAGAAAATCATACATATGTTGAAAGTCAAAATATACTTAATGACAGTGAAATAAATATATCTGAAGACTGGGGGTGTTTCTCAATGTCGAGGAAAGCTGCTCCAGAAATGTCGAGGCTGCACATGTGTAGACACCGCGGTCTTATAATCCCCACAATGCTTTGCGCACGGACCAATGTAAGGCGAGGCCTCTCATATGACGCACAGCTGCACACTTGCTCGCCTGTTCCACTCTTCGTTTTCCGAATGCCAGGAAGTATTCTTGCCTCGCTTCTGAAGCAAGTGACTCGGAAGACATGTGCTACCAAGCAAGCGTACTCGAGATTGAGAAACACCCTATATGTCAAATATACACTATGAAGGGTTGATTACAGCTAACAAAATATAAA